TCCCTCCATCCCAGCTGGGACCACGGTTTAGCCATGAAGATTAGCGCACAGGGCTTTGGGAGGATTTGTTTATCTTTCTGGTTTTTGTTCTAAATACAAAACCAACACAAGTACATGCTTGTAGTTAAGAGAAATTACATGGCACAGAAAGGTGTGTATGAGGTCCATCCCCCAATTTACAACTACAACTGTCTTCTAAGGAGGGCAGATACCACTAAATGGAAAGGTCCCTAAAGGTCATTCATTTATAGACCTCCGACACGGGCTTAAAGCCCACATTGGGAAACGCAGGCTAAGAGGAGCCAAACTGTGCCGGCTGATAGGAAGGAGGCGGGGCAGCCAGGGTGGCAGAAGTGAATGCTGGGTGGGGTGAAGGGCAGCAAGGAAGGTCCCCGTCGGAGGCAGGCAGCAGGACTGAGAAGAATGTCTAACGTGCAGTTTCAGGTAAACTGCTGTGAGATGCAGTTCCGCGTGACCCTTCCTGGTGATTCCCAAATTTTCAAGAAGGTTGTCTTGTGAGAGTGGGTCCTGTGTTTCTGTGAGAGGTGAGGAAGGGGCTGAGTGTCAGGTCTGGAGTGAAAGGAGGGGACTGTGGACAGGATCTGCACATGCACTGAAGGAGCCCCGGGCAGCCGCGCAACTCCCACTGGCCGTGACCAGGGCCTGCTGACCTCGGGTTATGTGTGGAGAGCAGAAAGTAAAAGTTCTTCTGAATCCCATCCCCTCGAAATCAGTGTTGTTAAGGGTTTGGAACATGTTCTTTCAGGTTTTGCTAGGTAAACAAACATATATATTATTACCAAAGAAATGAGATCCTACTTCACATACTGCTTTTGAAACTTCTCTTTCTCTGTTTAACAACAAATCCTGCACAGTCTTTCTGGGTCAGGAAACATAGGTCAGTCTCACTTTTTTTCAGAGTGGGTGGACAGAGTCTTGGTCTGTCACCCAGGTTGGAGTACGGTGGTGTCCTCCATAGCTCACTGCAGCCTCCAGCTCCTGGGCTCATGTGATCCTCCTGCCTCAGCCTTTCTTTCTTGTGTGTGAAGTCATCTATAGAAACTGTGGCACCTAAGCTATGGTTCCTTCATCATAACACTGTGCAGTTTGCAGATTTTTCATTTAAAAAAATGAAGATTTATAAGGGCAGACCACTCTGACCACTTTCTGCTTCTGAGTGCAGTTTTCTGCAAAAGAAGGGAATGGCTACAAATTCTTTGGGGAAGGTTATATTCTGTATAATTTGGCTTCAATTTAACACACTGACTAGCTTCAAATCCCCAAGGCAGTCATAATGACATAAGGAAAACACAAGTAATGTATAGTCTTTGGGGCGCTGGTTTGAATCTCTGAGTCTTTTATGTAACCAAGTGTTAAAATACCCCATTAGCCAGGCATACTTCACGCAACTTCTTGAGGGAGGGGGAATAGCTACATCTTAATAGGAAAGGTGTCAGTAACCATGGCAAAGCCTAGGTTTAGAAGTTTCAAAGCCCCGAAAAGATTTTTTTTTAAGTCACTATAAATCTGACATGAAAACAAAAGATCAGAAACTTCTCCCTGTGTAGCTTCAGATATAAACTAATTCATCAGCTAACAAAGTTTGCACACTGGTGTGGGGCACATCTGGATCACAGGGGCTTCAGAAAATGTCTTCAGAGAGTAAATGTATTTTTTAAAGTGAATTAAAAACCCTGGAATCCAAGGGATTCATGAAGACACTGACTGGGGCAATGGTGCTGGTGGTGGAGAAACATATACAACAGCCAGTGAAAACCCTGCAACCACCATTTCTATTTCTTTTTGTTTTTATGTTTTTAAGTAACTGTCAATGTCACTTTGTAATATTTGTTGCAGACTAACTTTTTCTGGAAACCTTTTATTCATCAGCAAGACTTCGACAGATTGCTAAGCTATATTTTTTGACAATGACAGGGTAAGTGGGCAAGCCTCCAGTGACTCGGCTGCCTCTCTTCCCTAGGGAGCAGAGAAAGGCCAGTGTCTAGGTCTGGGGGCTGGTGTTCTCTGCCCACCTCCTTTCTTCAGCACTTTGTGTGACAGATGGGTGCTGTTCGCAAGGGCTAAATACCCCAAATTCCCTCATCCAAAAAGGAGGACAGCACAGGAGGACACATTTATATTGATACGAGCCCAGGGTTTCAAATCAAGAACCTTCAATAAGAAGATGCCATCAATTTGATGACTTTTGGACATTTATGTAAAGTATCAATACTTTACATAAAGTATGACTCAGGTAAATCAAGAAAAATCAGATAAATCAAGAAAATATAAAATTTTAGATTTTTAGAAAGGGTATTGTGAACAGAGAAGCATGAGGTCAGAGGAACATTCACGTGAGGGGCTTCTAGAATCAGGTATCCAGAGACAGGGATATGATGATGAAGATAGTAATACTGGGTGATATTTTTCAGATATTTAATGTGTGCCGTGGACTGTACTGAGTAGATACTCAGACTGAGATCAGAGGTGACACAGAGAAAAGCAAGGCCCAGAGAGAAGGATGCTTCCTGGTGACACGGTTTGAGGCCGGGGTTAGGTTATACTGCACATTACCACAACCTCTGGACTTGGAATTCTGTGAACCAAAAATGGGTTGACTTAGGTTTCTATCAACTTGTAACTAAAGAAGAGTCCTGACTAATAATCCCATTTAGTGCACGGAGTCCTCATCTTCCAGTGCGAGTGACCCCAGTCAACGACCCTCAGAGCCAGGGTTGCAAGGCAGAGTTCACAACCTGGCTGCACATCTGAACGGGCTGGAGAGGTGAAAATGCAGACTCCCAGGCCCTTCACGTGGAGATTCTGACTAGCTAGATCTGGGACGGGGCCCAGGAATTGGATATTTTAATAAACGCTTCAGGTAATTCTGATGCAGCATGCCAGTCTGGGAACCACTGTTCTATGGAAATGCAGCTCTAAGGAACACTTTTATGTGGGCTACGCAAACTTTCTCAGAAGTTGCTTATGTTTTACAAGATGCACATCAGTTGAAAGACCTTTTCTTTTGAGGAGCTAGCAAGAATATCTGGTGTTTTTAAGGTCCTCATTCAAGACTCAGCAGGGGCTTATGGGCTCTGATAACTCACTTCCCCAGATGCTATTTGGAGAATAAAAGTCACCTTCCTGTCATATCTGGAATACACAGAACAGATGATTCTGGGTACGCCACCAAAGCCAAGAGAAACGACAGGGACCATAGCTTACATCCCTAACATGTTCTCAGTCACCTCATAGGAACAAGTCTTAGCTGGGTTTCGGGAGTTGGGTATGCCTGAGGGTGGGCATGTAAAATGCTACATTTGTGGAAAGCAGTTTGGCAGTAGGGTTTAAGGTTCATATTCTCTGACCCAGTCTACTTCTTGGACTCTGACCCAGGAAAATAATTACACACGTATGCAAAAACCACGCACAGAGATGCTCATCACAGCCGTGTCTCTGACAGCTAACTATTTCAGACAACTTATGTGTCCAGCAACTGGGGAATGGTTCAATTAAGTATGCAGTCTTTAAAAAGCATGTTGCCAAGGAATTTTTACCACCACGTTCTCACAATACTGAGAATGGTGATATATGTACACATATATACACACACACTCTGTGTAATATGGATATATGGATATCCGAATCCTTTGTTTAAAAATATAGATATATCTATATATATATACAAAACAATAGAAGGAAATCCATCAAAATAATAACAGTGATTATCTCTGAGTAATTTCTATTTTCTTCCTTATAGTTCTATTTTCTAAATCAGAAAAAGTTAAAAAATTAAAATATAAAAAGCATATTTTCAGAGAATATTTAACAAAATGGCTTATAATATTAAGTAAAAATATAGGATACAAATATATATTCAATATGGTACCAATTAGTTTTCTAAAACTATACATATGTATATACACACCCAGTCATACTCCATATAACATTTCAGTCAACAATGGACTGCATATATGACACTGTATTTTTACTGTACCTTTTCTACTTTGAGATACATTTAGACACTAAACACTTACCATTGTGTTACAGTTGCCTACAGTATTCAGGATGGTAACATGCTGTATGGATGTAGCCCAGGAGCAACAGGCTATACCGTCTAGCCTAGGTGTGTACCAGGTTATACCGTCTAGGTTTGTGTAAGTACACAACGACAAAATCCCCTAATGACACATTTCTCAGAACGTATCCTTGTCATTAAGCAATACGTGACTATATATACGATGATATAGATACATAGATATATAAACCGTTAAGGCTCGGTAGTGGAATTACAGGTAATTGTTTTCTTCATTCCACTTGTATATCTTTCTGAAACTTACTCAATGGGAATGGATTACATTTCAAATCAGAAAGAAAACACAATAAATTGCATCTTTAACAACAGTTTACATGAGGAACATTCCCCTGGGGTCTTCTTGTCCCTGTTGGGAGCTCCTTGCAGCTGGGGTGTGGCATGGCCATGAGGAATGACTGTGTCTTCTGAGCTCCGCAGCCCAGATAAACACCCACCTCCCAGGGCTGTCCCATTAACACCTGCCAGGTTGGTAGGGACCAAGCAGTGAGGATAAGGATGACGACAATAACCACCATCATCTGCTGAGCTCTTCCTGTGTGCCAGATGCCATGCCCAGTGCTTCCCAGGCATCGCCTCCTTGACTCCTATGAGGCTGGTCTGTGCCCAGCGAGGGGCAGGCCCAGGACCGGAGCCCCAGTCTGCCCAATTCCAACACCTGTGCTCATGAGCCCTGCACTCCAACCAACAGCAGACTTCCGTAAGGAATATGTCTTTTAGGAATAGCACACATCTTCACCATAAGTCAGTTATCCGGGAGTACATCTGAAATGCCCAGAACCTTCTTTCTGATCCATTTATGTAAGAAAAACATTAAATTTTTACTTTGACCTGTAATTATTGTTCCCAGAGGTCGTTTTTAATAAATAGCATATCCCGCCGCTGTTCTTGTTTTCGTTCTACCTACCTTCTCTTCAGAGGGGTAAAAGCCGATTGCTCTCATAACAAAAGGAAGCTCCGAAAGGCAAATGTGTTCCGACACCTTTCTCGTCTGCATTGTATCGATGCCTTGACTGCGGAGCTGAGAATAGTAGAAATAGTCTTCCAGCTCCTGCGTGGCGATAAAATGGAAACACAACACACATTTTGGCTTAAGTCTGAAACATCCATTAAGACTTCAAAGACATTTTCTATAAAATACATTTTGAGCTCAGTGGGGAAAAGAGCTTTGGAATAAAGCAAAAGGGGTTAACCCTGGGCACGTTTGTTTTACAAACTTAACTAGACGTTACCAGGAAGTGTTTACTCTGAAGACAATTACCCTGTAGAATTTTCCTTCCCTGCCACCAGGCACCAGACCATAGAACGGGGTCAAGTCTTCGCCCCCAAGAGAAACCGCTGCCTCCAGGGCACTGGAACAATAACAGAAGCATGGCGATTAGAAAGCACTCATGCGCACACGCGTTTCAGACGGTCGTCCGCACAGCACCGCGGCCCTCTGAAGAAGAGTATTACCGCGCAGATACAATTAGGGTCTCTGTAATTTTGTTAACAAAAGTCCCTCCAAAATGAAGCTGAAAATGGAAAATTCAGTTTCGAGCATGGAACTCGGTGGTACAGGGCACCTGCCTCAATTATGGTGACATTCTCTCACTGATGACAGGGCAGGCACTTGGCAATTTGTCTGCGATCTTTGGGGAATGTCTCTCTCCTGAGAGGGGGAGGGAAGAGGGGGGCTCCTGTGTCCTGAAACCACAACCCTCCCAAGCAGATAAGCTTTACCCGTAACTTTAGATCCACGATGACCAGAGCCGAAGAATGGGATGGTGTACAGGGGAACTGCCAACACTAATTGCTTCCGCAAAACTCAGGAGACCACAGGGACCCATGCCAGCCAGATAAAAATAACGCTCTGCTCTCTAACACGGGGTCAGATTTTCCAAAAATAGGCCCTGTAAATGGTAAGAAAACCTACTTTTTTGTATGAGACCGACTTTGCCTTGTACAAAAGGCTAATAATCTGAAATCATTATAATAATCCACTAACTGGATTTCTCCTAATCAGGCGATTAGCCCCTTTGCTCAGATATTAAAACACTGGGATGTAGACCACGGTGGGGAAGTGGTTAAGTGTCCAGAATGTGGAGCCACAGGGACGTGTGAGTGAGTCCCGGCTCTGCCCTTTGCAAGCTGTGTGACTGTGGGCAGGTAACTTAGCCTTCTGTTTCCTCAGCTGTACAATGGGAAGATTTATAGAGCTTGCCTCGCAGGGTTGCTGTAAGAACCCAGTGAGTGAACGCATATGAAGGACTGGAGACAGAGCCCTTCATTTCCCGCCTGTGATGAATGTTGTTTGAGGCGTGCGGTCAACTCCCAGTCCCACCAGATACTCCGCTGCCTGGGCAGTCATTTAACCCCTCGGAGCCAGTTTCTCGATCTGTCCAGTGGGGATAACAGCCTCACAGGACGGCTGTGAGGAAGAAATCAGAGGATGCACACAAAGCACTTGGCACAGGGCCTGGCCCCCAGAAAAGGCTCAGGACGAGGTGGTCAGGATCATTACTCCCATGGAAATGGGTGTTGATAGGCACCCACGTTCTCGCACAGAGAGTTAGCCACAGACCTGGCCTTGGTCCTCTTACTGGGGCCCTGCACAAGCCCGTGGGCTCGGTTAAAGTCTGAGGGACCTGGTGTATTCTCCAGGTGGGCCTGAGGGCCCCCTCCAGCCGGGCCCGGTCTCCACCCCACTCTTTGGCTCTGATGTTAGGCCATGAAGGCAGGTGTCCAGCTGACAGGGCTCCCTCCAGGCCCAGGCCCAATCCCAACAGGCTCTGTGAGCAGTAAGCCCACTTTTAGCCATGTGGTTCTGGAGTAGGGCCAGGTAAAGGCTGGAAGTGACACAGAGGAGCCTGTCACCACCAGGAAAGGCTTGGAAGAGCTCCTGGTCCTCTGGGAACAGCCCAATACTCTGGGCTCCAGTGGTCAGGGCTGTCCCGGCCACTGTCAACTGACCCGACAGGGGCCAGGGGGTCTGTACTGGGTTATCTCCAACCAGAGGTGGGAAAGAGACTCACTCTCTCTGCAGTGACAGCTAAAATTTGTGAAATTCACAAACTGCTAGTGGCCATGTTCCTGCTGAGTAAAGAAACCCAGTTCTGCAGAGAATGAAGCCAGCAGCGGAGCCAAGCAGAGAGAGAATGCAGAAGGCACCCAGAGGTGCTGCAGTCTCTGCTCCCGCTGTGCAGCTACATAAGATCCTAGTGACCTTTTTATGAATCCCTCTTTTTGCCTAAGTTGAGTTCCTAACACTCGCAACAACAAAACAGAGGTCATTGAGGCACAAAAGGGAAGTGACGTTTATTGAAAACCTACTATGTACCTGGCAATACATACAGAACTTCCGGGAAACAAGCTAAAGCTCGAACAGCCGTGAGCACTGTGACTAGCACATGGTAAACACTCCAGAAATGCCCTCTAGAGGAGCAGGAGCAGTAACAGTGATGACAGTAATCATCACCCCCAAAACAACTCTGAACTCAGGGATAACATTCCCATTTAACAATTGGAGAAACAGAGACTCAGACAAGTTATCCGGCAAGTAGGCAGGGAAGCTGGGATTTGAATCCAGGTCTCTCTGCTGCTGTCTGAGCAGGGCAGCAGCATGACAGGAGGCAGTGAGGTTGAACATAAAAAGGGAATGGGGGATTTTGAAATACATGCCAGACGAGGAGAGGAAAAGGATGGCACGGACGGCACGCTGGCAAAGACGGGAGAAGGGAGAGGAGGTGTGGGGTGGGAGGGGCTCTCCCAGGGAAGAAGTTCCAAATGCTGAAACAGTAGTGCTTTGGGGCTAGGGGTGCACTGATCAAAATAATCAGAACGTGAGGGGACTTCTCATCCTCATTTCACCCTACAACTTGTCATCAGTAAATCTAGTAGGCAATTTTGTTTGTTTACTTATTTAGGATTTTTACATTTCTTTCCATTAGTGAAGCACTGAACATATTAAGTCACCAGAAGCGGTAATGAAGTGCTAATCAGTTTATAATGATCTTTTTGTCCCCACAACAGATTAAATTGATATTCTCAGATGCCTGGACTCTGGCCAGGCACAGGAAAGCTATTGGAAACTGGGTGCCTTTTTTTCTCTTTAGATCTCTACATTCCAGATCCCATGACGACTGAGAGAGGACAAACACGAAATGGGAAGATTCTGCTCTCCCCGCAGGGTGCTGCTTGCCCTGGTGGTTGCAGGTAACAGGCCAGGCAGCAAGGACTCAAGCAGCTCCTCAGGAGGACGTGACTGGGAAGTGCGTTCGATGGGAACGCTCACCTCCAGCTTCCAAATCCCCAGATTCCCAAGATCTGCTGTCTTGGGTGAAGGCAGAGGTGAAAGTCAGAGTTGCGACTGCAATCTGAAACCACCAGGCTCCAGAGCAGATTTAACTGATTTTTGCTCAGATTTGGGTTTAGAGGAGAAGCTTCAATGTCTGCCATGAAAAGGAAGATGTGCACTTGGCAGATGGCAGGGCTGCGCTCTACTAGGAGCCACGAATCGAGTTTGTTCTTTGAGGAAGGAAGGCCGCCCCTTTGAGGAAGGAAGGCCACCCCGAGCTGTTTTTGCCTCTGAGACAGGCAGATGGGCTTGGAGAAGGTGGTCAGAACAGGAACTGGCTGCTGAGTGGTTTACTCTGCCCTGGTGTAGCTCACTGAATTTGGGTAGTGAGTGCGTGCCCCCTCTTTTAGTGAGAAAGACCCCAAGCGCATAAGCAAACGCCCTTATTAGGAAGAAGGGAAGAAAAGAAATCATTAATTTACTGAGTACCTAGGTCCTATATCTATTAACCTACCTCATCCTTACAAGGATCCTATAAAAGTCCCTATGATTATCCCCATTTCACAGACAAGGAATCTAAAGATCAGAGATGTTAAGGAACCTGCCCTAGGTCCCACAGCCAGCGGAGAGCAGGCCCCATACTGGAACTCGCATCTCTCTGACCTCCAAGTCCACGTACTCTCCCATGTCCAACTCCAGAATTCTGCAGCCTCACCTTAGGCAGAGATTCTCAGTTCAGGACGGGGGATGGTGAAAAGTAGACTGAAAATACATATTTCAAATAATACTCTTACTATTTCTGTAATGTATGTTTGGAGATTCAGCCTAGATCTTCCCAGCCGGTGTGGATGTGCGGAACAGAGTGAGACGTATTTTAGGGAGCAAGGGTGAACCCACGGTAGAGTCACACTGCCTGAATTGCAAATGCCATGGGTCCAAGAGACTTGTGTCTGTACGTTAACGTGAATGGATGTCACGAGAGAGCAACATGAAGGCCAGGCCTTGTGACATCCCAGCACAGTGCCTAGCACATGGTAGGGGTTCAGTACTTGTCTGCTGCTGCTGAGTGAAAGGAAGAGGTTTACACTTGACACCCTCCTTACGGGCCTAGGTGTTTCACCCCCATCACAGACCTTAAGTTGATTTTCCACTGTACGACCGAGCGATCGTGTCCTCCTGCCGTGAAGGCATAGCGGCCATCGTAGGAAAGGGCCAACCCAGCCACCCCGTTTGGGTGACAAATAATAGCGGCTGTCTTATGCGGATTGCCATCAACTGGTAAGATCTGAAGTCCAACCTAGAAAGGAATTCGTAACTGCATAGTCAGACTCAGGTAACCAGGCCCCAAGCAAGGCCTGGCACATTCACATGTCACCTTCCAGTGTGCTGAAGGACCTCTGTGTCTGGAACCATCTCAGGGTGTGAAAGCCACGTTTAATGTAGCGAGGCATCCACACACACCAGCCCTTGTAGGGAGGTCCCTGAGAGGAGACGGCCCCCGCCGTACAACTCCAGCAGGTACACAGAAGGGAAGCCTTCTTCCCTGTCTTCATGGTCAGATGTCCATGGTTTCCCAGAATAATTCTCACATCCCATGATTTTAAGCTTTTCAATATAGATTATTCATTAAATGTATAACTAAGTGTAGCTAATTTGCATGTCTTTATAAGATCTTTCCATGTAAATAAGTAAGAAAGAAAAATCTTTTGGTGGTCCCTGTGTCTTCAGTGGGAGTATGGAAAATACAGTAATTCTGCTCAGAAATGCCTCCCAAGAGTCGTCCTCACTAATCTATGGCATTTTCCGGTATCACTCCTGACCCAGATGGAAGTAGTGGGCTTGGCTAGGAAGCCAGGCCTCGTTGAGTCTTACAGTCTTTGGGACCGACTGCTGTTCATCACACGTTACCTTACAGAGCTCAAGAACCAAGGGCTGTACCTTGTCTCTGTTAATGAACACCAAGTAGCGCTTCTGTAGTTCGCTGGTGGTCTTCACTGGAAGGACTTGTGCCTGCTCAATAGGAGAACCATAAGCTGGCCCAAGGAGCGTCTTTCTGAAGAGAAAAAAAGAAAAAACTTTTTAAATTCCACAAATGTGACTGTAAGTTTGAAGACTTTTTGGTCATGATGCCCTTATACATTTTTAATTCTGAATTTTCTGTCTTGTCACTCAGCTAACCCTGTCCATAAGAACTACTCTCTCCACTGCTGCTGGCGCCTGCTGTTAAGTAAGGGGCTGCAGCTCCCAACAGCAATGCTCCAGGGAGAGTGATTATGAAGAATGCTTTTAGCAGGAGTGGTTCTGACTTTCCTCCTTGACAGCTGAGTGAAGGGAACATTATGCCTCAAGAATGTGTACGTGAATGAGGGACGAGGAAAAAGCTGTGATGAAGTGACACGCATTGGCAGGATGCAAATAAACACCCCGTTCCCCAACAGGAGGCCAGGAGATTAGAACGAGATACCGTACATTGTCCCAGATGTCTGATGTACAGGTATGTGTGCAACATACAGATTACCAAAAAGCTATCTCTGCATCAAATTGTAATTGAATCATGTCCCCACACCTGTCAGAAGTGTCAAACTCAGACTCTGTGACACTAAATAGGAATCTGCTCAGAGGCAAGGGCACTAGATGTTACCCTAGGCACACAGCTGGATTCTTCCTGAAGCTACCAAAACGTAAGTTTCAGGACCCCTTACTTGTGCAGGCACCTTCTGAGCCCTGGGAGGGGCCCTAGCTATTTTTTATCCTTAATTATATACATATATTTTTTAAAGAGAACCTACAAAATCAAATACCATTCAGGCCCCACAAAACCTGGCTCTACCCCTGTGGAAGCTCAGCAGGGATTTCGTCTTATTCTATGATAAGCCTGGGAGTTTGAAAGTGTTTTCTCCCTGTATCCCCTACGCCCAGCCTGCGTCTACCTGGGATACAGGTACTCATGTATGTGCTGGATAAACGAGGAGCACATTCCATCAAACAAGATCTTCTTGAGTACCTCTCTGTGCCAGGCATTGTGTTAGGTGCTAAGGATACAGAAATGAGTAACATATGGCTCCTGCCACTGCGGTCACAGCCTGGCAGGGACAACAGACATGGAACCAACGTGAGGGGAGCAGGGTGGTAACCCAGCAAATTCACGGTGCAGGGATTGTGCCAGGAAGAGTGAGGAGCCACCAGGCGACATCTAAGCTGCTTCTGGAATGGTGACTCAGAGATGGAGAGACAAACACAGAGGTAACGGGGAAATGGGCGGCGGGCATAGGCAGTGAGAAGGTAGCGGACTTGGAATACTGTCTGTAAACTGAGGAAGCACAAACAGTAAGGGGAAAAGGAGTGGAGGGTGAAACTCAGTAGGTGACCGGGGTGGTTATGAAAGCAGGCTTTCCCTGCTGGCCTACAGGGTGCTGTGGGAGGGCGTCAGGCTGGGATGATCCATGATCAGGTTTATATACACATAGAATTAGGTGAAATTTTAAAAACACTAAAATGATCACTAGGTAGACAATAAACCAGCTAATTCTAAGTCACCCTTCTCTTATCATTGAAGTAGAAATGTTAAAGACCTGTTCCCACGTATCACTGAGAGGGTAGAAGCAGGGCAGAGCATGCTGAAGAGTACAGACTCTGATTTGAATCCCGGCTCTGACCCTTAACGATTAGGGCAGGCCAGGATCAGTGGTTCAGCACTTTGGGAGGCCAAGGCAGGAGGATTGCTTGAGGCCAAGAGTTCAAGACCGGCTTGGGCAATAGCAAGATGCTATCTCTACAAAAAAATGTCTAAAAACTAGCCAGGCATGGTGGCACATCCCTGTAGTCCCAGCTACCTGGGAAGCTGAGGCAGGAGGATTGCTTAAGCCCAGAAGTTTGAGGTTGCAGTGGGCTATGATGATGCCACTGCACTCTAGCCTGGGCAACAGAGCGAGATCCTGTCTCAAAAAAAAAAAACTAGGGGCAAGTTGGGGAGAAACTGGAACCTTCAAACGTTGTTGGTAGGAATGCAAATGGTGCGGTTGCTATGGAAAACAGCAAGGTCCTCAGATGGTTAAACACATAGTTACTGTATGAACCAGTATGCCCACTCCTAGGGCTATATACAAGAGAAATGAAACACATACATCCACACAGAAATCTATTCCCAAATGTTCACCATAACCAAGAAGCAGAAACAACCTGAATGTCCAAGTGATGACAAGATAAACAGAATGTGGCCTATCCATACAATGGAATACTATTCAGCCATAAAAAGGAATGAAGGACTGATTCATGTCACAATGTTTATGAACCTCAAAAAATAGTATATCAAATGAAAGAAGCCAGGCACAAAAGGCCACATATTGTATGCTTCCATTTATACAAATATGATTTATATATCCAGAATAGACAAATCTGTAAGACAGAAAGCAGATTAGTGGTTGCCAGGGATAGGAAGAGAGGGGAGGGGAGGGGAAAATAGGGAGTGACTGCTGATGGGGATGGGGTTTCTTTTTGAGGTGAGGAAAATGTTCCTGAGTTGGATAGTGGTGATTGTACAACTTTGTGAATACAGTAAAAACCACTTAAGTGTATTCTTCAAAACGGTGAAGCTTATGGTATATGAATCATATCCCAATTTAAATTAAAAATAACTTTTCTGTACCCTGGTTCCTTACCTGAAAATAGGGACAAGGACAGTACTTACCCCATAAGATTGTGCTGAGTCATATAAGTTAACTTATATAAAGCACATAGCACAATTTCTAGCATACAGATATATAACTGTTACCTAGTATTATTAAACACATCTACCAATTGTATAAAATTAATATCTTCTTCTTCCGATTAAAAAAGTATTACATATTCACTGTGAACATTTTCAAACATGTAGACATATAGAAAGTATAAAATCTACCTATAACTCCACATTGCTGTACCCTATCCCAGTATAATCACAGGCAATGGTTTGGTGTATATGACTCAAGAATTTCTTTTATAATTATAATTATATATACAAATAGAATTACGCTGTTCACACTTCATTGGCAATTTGCTTTATCTCTCATCTTCGAGATAATTCCACGTCACCACAGAGAGAGCTATCTTAACTCTTTCTCTTTTTTCCTTTCTAAGAGCAGCATCGCGTTCCAGTGCACTGACAAGCCATCATTTAACTAATCCCCTATTAATGGGCATTTGGATTGTTTCCATTTTTAAAAATATTTTCAAATAAGACATCCTTTTACTTATGTCTTGGCACACTGTGTGAGTACTTCTGTGGCCTATATTCCTAGAAGTCAAAAGATATGATAAAATTTAATAGAGGGTGACAAATTGCTGTCCCCAAAGGTTACACCAATTTACACCCCCAGCAGCAGCAGACGAGAGTGCCCGGTTTCCCTAAACCCTTGCCAACACTACGCACGATCGATCATTGTTATCTTTGCCAATCTGATTTGAGAAAAATGATATCTTGTTTTCATTTCCATCTTTGATATACTAGTGAGCATCTGCTCATAGGTTTATTGGCCTTTTTCCGTGAACTGCCTTTTCATGTTCTTTCAAATATTTTTAAAATGTGTTTTTAAATTCTTTCAGATTTATCATGAAAAGCCAATTCCTTGCCAATTAGCTGCAGTTATGAGGCTTTATTATTCCTACAACTTAAAAGATGCTTTATGCAGGGGCTTTATTTTAGAATGATGGAAATGTTCTGGAACTAGACCGAGATGGTGGTTACACAACATTGTAAATGCACTAACGGCCACTGAATCGTTCACCTTATTTATTTATTTATTTTTTAGAGACAGGTCTTGCTCTGCTGCCCAGGCCAGAGTGCAGCAGCACTGTCTCAGCCCTGCAGCCTCCAACTCCTGGCCTCAAGCCATCCTCCTGTCTCAGCCTCCCAAGTAGCTGGGACTATAGGCACATGCCACCACATCCAGCTAATTTTTTAAATTTTTTTGTAAAGATGGAATCTCACTATGTTGCCCAGGTTGGTCTTGAACTCCTGGCCTCAAGTGATCCTCCCACCTTGGCCTCCTGAAGTGCTGGGATCACAGGTGTGAGCCACTGCGCTCAGCCGATAAATTATTTTTTTTAAGATGCTTTACGCTAATTTCAGATTGATCTTCAATAGGCAGAAACTCATAACTGTGCGGCTAAAAGTCCCTCCTGCCTCTTCTCTCTGCTTAAGACCTGTTAGTAGGAACTTCGAGCCCGAGGCACGCCATCCCCAATTCTCCTGCTCCACAGATTCAGAGTTTCTCAGGACCCGGCATATCTGAGGGATATTCTTTGTCCAAAAAGTGTGTATCCATTAAAGACAATGCATGAAGATTCTGAAATCTTCCTAAAACTCCTCTTCATACAGCATGTATGAAGAAAGCACTTCAAGTGTTTTAATAGTTTTAAAAAATTATGCTAGATTTCTCTTCCTATCATATGCCATGACATTTCTCAGTCATTTTTCCTTGTGCCTTCTGGAAAAGAGTTGTTAAAAAAAAAAAAAAATTCCTGGGTGGTCCTGGCCTTTTGAGGGACCTATCTTCTCTGTGATACATTTCAAAACAATGATCTTTCTCAGGCCTAGGGCAAGCTGCTACTGCCCGTTCCCTAACTTCCTTCTCCAGGCAAGATGACCGAAACATTCTCACTTCCAGGTTCTCCTCCTCCTTGCCTTTTTTCAGCTAAATCCAGCAAGCAGCCAAACCACAGCTTACCTCCAGGGCTGAGCAGGTAAGATCCCAAAGCCAGGCCTGTGTCAGGGCCTGCACTGCCCAGCAGAGGACAGAATCCAGGCTGGGTTCAAGGGTCAAGTCCCGCCCTGCTTCACCTTGGGCAAGTAACATAGTCTCCCTGAACCTCAGTGGGATACTCTGCAGGGTTCTTGACAATGAGAAGGGATGAGGCGTGCGGGCCCTGGCGCAGGGATGGTGCACGATAATCAGTGTTTGCACGAGGGGCAACCCCTGGGACCTGTGTGGGTTGGAAGCACGAGCGGCCACCTGCAGGCGCGGGACAGCTTCAGAAAGGAGGCCAAATTTTGGATGCCCTGGGCATGGTCCTTCAATCTCTATCTACTCCTCCTCTCTGGAGTCTCCTTCTGTCTCGTGGCTTTATTTTACGTGTTATTATTTTTTATTTGTTGCTAACCACTAGACAACCAGGGATGCATGGATTTCAACCATCCTGTGCTCTTGACCTCCACCCCAGCCTCTCCCATGACCTCCACACTCAGGACTCTAATTTGTGTACTCCCACTTGGATGATGAGTAGGCATCTCCAACTTGCCTTATCCAAACTCTGACTCTTGATATGCCTTAAATCTATTCTTCTTCTTTATTTTTTTTTGTTTGTTTGTTTTTCTTTCTTTTGTTTTTTAGTGACAGGGGCCCGCTCTGCCACCCTGGCTAGAGTGCAGTCTTCTGGCTTTGAGGTTACACCTTCCTTTCACTCCACCAGCAAACCCTGTTTGCTCTGCCTACAGGATCCATCCAGAATCCAACCCCCGTCCCTGCTGCCCCTCAGCGCCAGCTACCAGCATCTCTCACAACAGCTTTCTGAGCCTTGCTTCTACCTTTGAGCCCCAGAGTCTAGTCTCTGTACAGAAGCCAGACAGCATTTTTAAGTATAAATCAGAACATGTCACTCCTCTGCTCAAAACCCTCCACTAGCTCTCAACTTCCGCAGGAAAGAGCCAGAGTCCCCACGGTGTTGTCTGTCAGGCGACCTGCCCGAGCCTCTGACCTGCTCTCCCACGCTTTCCTCCTCCTCGCCCACGCTGCTCCAGCCATGCGGCCTTCTTGGCGCTTCTGAAACCCCAAACACCTTCTGCTTTCCGTCCTTTGCACTTGTGGGTCCTCTGTCTGGAAACTTTTTCCTCCAACTACATGGTCCGCTCCCTCCTTTCCGTGGAGTCTCTGATCAGAAGTCGCCCCACCCGCCTGAGGCCACCCCGCCCGCCTCGTGCAACAGCATCCCCTCCACCTCTAGGGCTTCCCTTCTCATCCCGATGCCTTGTCACGCTTTTTGCATAGCACTGATTACCACGTTCCCACTACCCGGCTACCATCCGTGTTAGTGCATCGCCCCTTCCCCACTAAAGCATAAACTCTGTGATGATGGAAACATTGTTTTGTTTTTATCCTGTTGTGTCCAGCACCTAGAACAGTACGTGGCTCATGTAGGGAGTGAACAAAGGAAAGCTATCAGTTGAATTTAAAACTCCTTTGAGAGCCAAGAATAATAAAAATCAACAGTTAGTAGAAGTCAGGTGAAAGTATGTTTTTCTTTAGGAAAGAAGGAGATTTTGGAGCATCACTGACTTTTCCAGGGCCCCAGGGTCTGTTTCCTCCCTGGATTGACAGGCACTGAGCTCTGGACCTCACCTCCCTGCTGGGCCAGGCTTAGGTGCAAGGGCTCCAGCTTTGCATCCTGCTTCTGGCACTTCCTAGCCATGTGACCCTGGGGGAGAATTACTTATGTTATCTGTGCCTCAGTTTCCTCCTCAGCAAAGTGAAGAGGATGATAATAGTAGCTAAGCTGCTCGCAGGTCCTTAAATTGAGACTTGAAATAGGCTGGGGGCAGAGAAATTGATTTATTAATACACATTAGCGGGAAGCTCCTGGTGCTTACCTGCACATTTTGGTGGTAGAATTAAAAAGTTTCACTTTGTAGGCACTGTTGCAAATGAGCAGGAAAAGCTCCTTGGTGAGCGGTGGGTACCACACCATACAGGTGGGGTAGCTGCCCTGGTCAGTTCGGTGAATGTCCAGGACTTCCAGGTGGTCTTTGTGGCTCTTGAGAAGATTATACTCTATCTGCAGAGGGGCCCAGATGGACACACATGAGGGCCTCGCCAAAGAAAAGGCTCAGCTAAGGAGCCTTAAGCTTTTGGGTGACAAACTTTGTAATTATCAGCCAATAGTCCTATTCTGGGGAGACAGTACTGGGTCTCCAAAGAGAAAACTTGCATAGACCTTACACCTAATCAGTTACCGTTATTGATATTCACTATGAGCTAACTGCTCTTAAAAACATCATGCTATTTAATCCTCATAACTCCCCTACCAAGTAATATTATCGTGCCCATTTTATAGATGACAAAACAGATGTTCAGAGTGGCTTGCCCAAGGTCACATAGTTAAAAAGTGGCAGAGTAAAAATTCAAATTTAGGTCCAAAACTTGAACTCTTACAGTTCTGTTATTCTGCATCTCTCACCATTATCTTAGAAACTCTTCGAGAGTAGGAACTAATTTGTATCTAAATCTCAGCACAGCACTGGACAGTCACAAATTAGCAGCCTGCTGAATTTGTCCCACAGGTATGTTTCAGTGGGCAGACCAGGATGGATGGATGGTTGGATAAACAGAATAAAGGAAAGAAAGAGAGGAAAGGAAGGGAGGGAGGAGAAAGGAAGGAAGGATGCATAGATAGATACATTGACTGATTTTTAATCCTTTTCGCTTGGTCCTGTAATATTGTGTTTCCCTCCAACTCACATCCTCTACTAGTTTTCACATGTAGGTGACAGCCTGGCTTGACCCCTGGACACAAAGCATTAGTGAGTGTCGGCTTTCCCAGTCATGTGTGGAGGCGAGGGGCGGGGCTCTCCACACTGGGGAACCCGCCTCCCCTTGCCTTCCCACTTGGTGCTTCCCAGAAGCCTCTTCAGTCAGAACGTCGAGTCCCTGTGCCGTGTCACACCTGTGTTAAGGCAAAGTGCCAGCTTGGAGAGGTTTATGATACTTCGTTGTACACTCATTTTCTCCAAGAAACGCACATGCTGTGGGCCTGCTTCTGTGCAAGATGCCAGGGATGTAACAAGAATGAAACACAGTCCTGGTGACCAGGTAAACGAAAGCTAACCAGCTCACCAAGAGCCTGTCTCTCCCGAGGCTCAGCAGTCTGGGCTCATTGTTGTCCAGGTGAACCCCAAACAGGAGACTTCGGATGCTTTTGCGGTGAGAGCGAAGTCTTGCTAAGTATTCCCAGACCCTTTTTCCACTTTTGACTACCACCATGTAAACGGCCACAGTAAAACTTACATCCTGAATGTGAGCATAAGAGAAGTTATTCCTTTTTTAATTTTGTAAATTAAGAATCATTTAGAAAATTTTCTCCAAAAAAAATCTTAGTCTATCACAACAAGTAGTAAAATCATGCCCATTCTACAGATGAGAAAATTAAAGTTAAAATGGATAACTTACAAAGGTAGTGGGGGGAGAAAGTATTTATCGACACTCTGGTCTTACTCTCCAAGTTCCCACCTCATTCTCAATGAAAAACCAAGAGCCTCTTTCTGCCTTTGTTCCCTTTCTTTGTCCAGCTACATAAAATAAATAAAAGTATGATTTTAAAAAAAGGTATGAAGGCTGAGAGTGAATCCGGTCAGAGTGGGAGAGCCCAGCCTGAAGGGACACAGGGACAGGGTGTCTGAGCTGTGTGGGCCCACAGTGTGCTGGGACAGCTTTCAACTTGGAAAGTGTCGTGTGCACAAACCAGAAGAGCAGCCACACCACAGTGGGGAGGGGACAGTGCTGGAAGGGATGGTGGTTTAAGTGAAGACAGCTGCTTTCCCCCCCCACCAACATAAAGGCAGACCAAGAGAACTGGCAGGAGGGAGAGGTGAGAGGCCTGAGAAAATCTTTCCTGAGCTTAAGAGCCAGCCCTATTTACAAAGGGAAGAAACAGAATCCAAAATATGGTAGAGGACACTGCTCTGAGATCAATGTTGTCAAATATCAGAGGGAAAGATGGAAGAATGAATACAGAGATAGGGTTCCCCAAACCTACCCAACTGAAATGAGCTATCAGGGCAGGGGAATCCAAGTCGGGAGGTTCCGAGGCCTTGGTCTTGTTTTCAGGGAAAAGTCCTCCTCCCTCCCTCGCCCCTTTCTCTTTGCGTAACAGCTTTATTGAGAAATAGTTCACATACCACACAATTCGCTGGTTTAAAGACACAATTTGATGGGTTTTAGTACATTCACAGAGTTGTGAGATCATCATAATTTTAGAGCGTTTTCGTCACTCCAAAAAGAAACCCTACATTTTTCCCCCAGCCCCCTTTCCCTTTGGTTTTAAATAAAGTTGCTAAGCCACTGGGCAGTCGGTGAAAATACTTACAGCAGTTGCCATATACTGAGAGTCATGGGAAAAACTTATATGTGTCACGCTGGTTCTGGAGTATCTGAAAGGCTCTGGGCTTTCGTTTTCTAAAGACATTGCATCAAGAATGTACACTGTCCCCTCTGTGAAGCCAGCTCCAAGAAGGGCTCCTGAAATGACAAACCAGAGGGCCAATGATGGAAAAGGACTTCATTCGTTCAAGAAATAGTGAATCTGTGCCAGGCTCTGTTCTAGGTACAGAGGAGGCAGCAATGAACACAGCCGACGAGGTTCCCATATGAAGAAACAAACTGAAAAGCATGACACCTTTGGATGAGCGCTCAGACAGTATTAGGCCCAGAATGCTGCAGGATCCTGAGAAGGTATCTTATCTATCTTCCTGAGGGGACTCAGAGACAGAGAATACTTCCTAAAGCTGTGACAGCCAAGGTGTATCCCCCTTGGGTCTGTTTTCCATTTGGAACCAATGATAGGCTGATAAAATGCAAATACCTTCAGGGTTGTAGGTCAGACTCTGTACTCCAAGCCCTTTCTCAAAGACCCTGCTGAAAATATACTTTTTCTTTTCATAATCCCACACTTTGATCATCCCACAGACGCTTCCAACGGCAATGAGGGGTTGATATGGGTGGCAAGAGATGGCACAAATGGCATCTTTGGGCTCTACAAATAACTTCTCAAGTTTGGTCCCATCTGTTGTTAAGTGGTACACGGTGGCATCAGATGTTCCAATGATAAGATTCCTGTTTGCCAAGGAGAGACCAAACAGTATCAGTGTTTGCAGGGAATGGGGCATGCCAGCTATTCTGCTTCTAATTGCATATAAACCGCCTCTGTCGTCTGTAATTTAGTGACATTATTAACCCGACATCTCCAAAAATATACCACCAATATCCAACAGCCTCCATTTGCAAGTGAAAAAGCCCACTTTTCTACATGTAAATTGAGTCATTAAGTATGCAGATGGACAGTCAGTTGTACAATTAGCTAATCTGCACATGCAAATATTCATTTGTGTATGCAAATATGGAGTTTGGTGCACACATACAGATGTGCCTGTAAATACTGCAAGGGTAATTAAGCAGACTCACAGATAATTCGGTCTTGAAATGTTATGGCTATTAATTATCCAATGCCTTTCACCACAGCAGCAAGGACAAGATCAGCTACAGAAAAGAGACCAACCTACAGGAAGGACTCTAGACTCAACAGAGATTAGAGTTTAGGGATAAGGACCTTCCAGCTTCCATTTACTAAAGAGTCTTAATATCAAAATGATGGCTAATAAATTTTTTAAATGATCAAATAGTGATTAGAATCAGCCAAGAAGATCCATCTGCAAGCCAGGTAGAGGACTGACTAGGAAAGCCAGGTCTCTCTATTGCATATCCCAGGAACAAGATGAACATTCCAATGCATGCAAACTAGATGAAGACATCAGTCATTTTTTGACCATTCAAATGACTAGATTCATTCATTCATTCATTCAGAACAACTAAATTCATTAACAACTTACCTTATAATAAAGAAGTCACCTCTTAAAGTGCAGTCTGGAGGATAGTTTGATTTTTCTGTTGGAGGAGCTGCCAGGGTCACTGAAAAGGACAGAGTTCTTATGGAGCTCAGTTTGAGGTGACTGTACCAGTTAACAATAGCCAGGGTATGATCATAGAACTTAATGTTGCCCTTAATGTCACCTGTGACAATATAGCTGAAATGGAGAATAACATCAGTTTGGTAAACAGCAGTAATAACAAGGCCCTTCTATCGAACACTTAAATTATATGTCAGGCTCTAGATTCCAAGACATTGTAAAAACTTCATTTCGTACTGCCCAATGAGGCTGATTTTACTGTTATTCCACTTTATATCTAGGAAACTAAGGCTCAGAGAAGTTAAGAAATTTGGTCAAGGCCTTGTGTTGCTAGGTTTAACAAATAACGATATAGGATGCCCAGTTAAATTTGAACCTCAGATAAATAATAAATAACCCTGCAGTATAAGTATATCACAAATATTGTATGGGACACATTCAGAGCCACCTGGCTAGACTATGCAGGGAATCCAGGTGTATCTAAAGCAAAGTCCCTCCTCTCTGACACACTCTTCCCTGCCCTCTGTGATCAGCCAGGTACGATGGTGGTGAGCAGTGATTTATACTCTCTACCGCATGACTACAGATGACAGTGGAGAGAGTCACTCTACCAGCCCTCCGAAATCATACAGGCTGGCAATGGGACACAAGCTGCTTTACAGGAAGGCACTGCTGTTAGAGTGATCATAAAACCCTGTCCAGTCACCACAGCCAAAGGCAGTGCAGCGTGACAAAATGGCTTTTATTTCCAGCCCTCGGATCCATCCCAAATGAGTTTTTTTTTTAAGACTGACATAATTCTAATCACGGGAGGAAGAGGGGGATGAATTTTCTCCTGTGTACGCACAGTGATTGAATGAAGTTTCTGATTAATAAGTAAGGCAGGTGGACAGAGTAACTGGTCACATCTTTCACTGCCCTCTGCTGGACAGAAGCAGCAAAACTGGCCAAGTGTTTTCAGAGACCTTTCCCTTCACGGGCTCCCAGGTCCTGGCTGGGTTTTCTTAACATGGAGAGAGGGGAACCCAGGCCTGGTTTTTACTGGGTCCAAAATCCTAACTAATTAAAAGTTGACTGCATGGCCAATTGCAGTTCTACTGCTGTCTTTCTGCACCACTGAGTGAGGATGACAATTTGCATTTCTCTTTGTAAAACCATGTCAGGACCTCACTGTTCCCCAGCATCAAAAGAAAGGCAAATGAAAGCAAATGGGCTTTTTGAAAGCAGATGGCACAGTGACTCTAACCATATGGGCAGGGTCCTTGTCATTAGGCAATTTCCACCATACTTTTGGGAACTTCCCTCACACACTAATGATGGCTGCCTCGCTGGGCCAGGCGGTGTGCAGAGAGTTTTACATGCCTGGTTTCACGAAACCCTAATAAAACCTGAGAGAGACAGTGTTGTTATGCCACGTCACACATAGAGAAATGGAGGCCCAGCAAGGTTAAGTCCCTTGCTCAAGGTCACTCAGCAAGGAAGGGCTGCTGCTGGAATGCAGACCCTGTTCTAACTGCTGCTTTTAATGATCACCTCTGAGTTTCCACAGTTGCTCAAAATCAAAGAGTGAGTGAATTTTATAAAGTTCTGATATATTTTACCTTTTCATAATGGGTAAATGTTATTTTGTAATCAGAAAAAACAATATAGTAGGCCGGGTGCAGTGGCTCACACCTCTAATACTAGCACTCTGGGAGGCCGAGGCGGGCAGATTGTTTGAGCTCAGGAGTTCGAGTCCAGCCTGAGCAAGAGCGAAACCCCGTCTCTACTAAAAATAGAAAGAAATTAATTGGACAACTAAAAAATATATAGAAAAAATTAGCCAGGCATGGTGGCGCATGCCTGTAGTCCCAGCTACTCGGGAGGCTGAGGCAG